AAATAACTTTTTACATAAAGTTTGGGGTATTTGAATTATATATGCAAGTTTGGGGTGTTCATCTCACACCCCTTCAAAGTTTGGAGTATTTTAATTATTTTTCCCAATTGATTATAATGAAGTATGTGTTTCGCACCAGCCAAAATCTTAGGGTCCTTTGGAACTCGGAAAATGGTAGGGGAGAAAATATTTAGAAATCCTTACATAAATAAGATGTGGGGAAAAAATTGCTTCAAATCCACATGTCAGTGTTAGATATTTGTTCTAGCTCATTCTATTTAAAGAAATCTGTCATATAGACGATGAGAAGTATAATCATATGAAAAATATTACTCTGTGTGCTCCCCAATCAAGTTCCCAGTTTGACCTACACATATATGCAAGACATATATTGGTTTCGAGTTTTTGAGTATACTCTTACTTTGTGTAAAAGTGAGCAAAATCTAAACAAAAAGTAAGGGCATTAATGACATTTTCGGATTTTCCCATTCAAATTTTTTCCTTTGCGCACACCCGACCCCCCCTTTGATGGAGATGCGCAGGTTTAGAACAGAAAATCAATAAGGAATCTAGCTAATCTACAGAGAAATTAGCTCAAGAACAATCTGCAACTTTATTCAACAGGGTAAACAGTACAAGAGTCCCAAAAGAAAGAGATAACACTCGATCTTTCCCAGTAACAGTCCAAGCATCTAACAGCCTACTTACTCACTCCCCTTTTCTGTCTATTTATACTACATATACCCTTATTACTAATATTATTATTATTTCTAATAAAAGTCTAATACTCTAATAGGCTGATTCCTATCAATACTTCTCCCTAAACATCCACCTTGTCCTCAAGGTGGGTGATAGGAAACAGTCAATATCTTCTGCTTTTTTTTTGCACCTCTTCCTTCCCAATACCGAACTGATTGCGGGACCATGAACCTTTCCAAAGATGTCTAGCAGCTTACAAATCCCACAACCAATCTGGATCCTGATGCCATGTACTGCGGGATGTATAATGGGTTATTGACAAGCAAGGAAAGAGCTGGACATTGATAACCAGCACATTGATACTGAGGTATTGTTATAACTATTCTTCCCAGCAAGTAGGGTTCCACTTCTATATTTCCAACATCTTCACTTAGCTTGGTTTCCCTTACAAGAGCACAAGTGGAACAGTTCATTTCTGGATCATGGGAGCCTAAGATCATTTTGTAAGGTTGAAAATTTGCTTGAGCTTCCAATCCATTAACAGTAGCCAGAGTAGTAGGATCCAGGGCCACACTGATTTTATCCAACTGGTATTCAAAAGTAAACTCATCAGCCCTTTTCAGTCTATACTTAGAGGAGTTCCAATTTGCATAAAGTATCAAATTGTCCCTCTTAACTGCCATCCTAGGTTTAACAATGGGGTGAGTGCAGATTGAACCTCAATTGCATTCATATGTGGATCATTCTTCCACATTTGTTTTGCTAAGGCACCCGGGAATGACACCACATCTTCACTGCTAATTTCTTGGCCCTGACTGTCAGCATCCAAAACGTACTTCTCCAACCTTCTTCTATTAGCAAGTTGGTGAACCATGTTACCCCTGTTCCAATGCTCATATATTTCCAAGTACTATCAATTACCATATGTGACTGCATCTGACGACCTACATCTCCATGTACAAAAAAAATACCAATTGTTGACAAACCCCTGACCTTTTCAACTTTTGTTACTGCATCGGTGAAGAGACCCTTAATGAGATTCTGAATAATCTTGACAGGTTCGCGTTTGAGAACTCGATCAATTTCACCAGCTTCAGGTCCATTGGTCACTGACGCATTCTTCTCGCTTTCATTTTTGCCCTCAGTGAACTTCTCCGCCCTAGGTGATGAAGAATAGGCTCGGGAAGAAGTCTGAGAAATGAAAACTTCTACTCCAGATGAAGTTTGCGAACTCATAGGAGCGACTTCAGACGAAGAAGACGAACAGTGATAATCGATTGGCGATGGAGATGGGGATTCTTCTCTTAATCGCATCTTTCTTGGACGCGAACTGATAACAGATGAAGAATTCTGCGAATGGTGATGCGAAGAGATATGCGAAGTTCGCGACTGCGGACTCTGAGAAGAAACATTTCGCGACTTTGCCTGCGATAACGGATGATGCCTACTGTTCCTCGTTGTGTCGCCAGATTTTCTGTGATGCCTCCCCTCTTCTGATTCCTCTGAACTCGCTGAAATTCGCGTGTGACAATGATGCGAGTTTGCGATGCGATGAGTGTGACACATGCGATCGGTTTCGCTATCGGTTTTGATCTCTCTCCATCAACGCTGCGAAATTGGCTTGCATCGTTGCCATGTTCGTCTCCATGGTTGCTGCCAATTCCCGTTGAATCCTCTCAATTTCAGTCAATCTCCCTTCCATCTTCGTGCGTGTTAAGGTCATCCAGTACACAAACGTGCTCTGATACCACTGATAGAGATGCGCAGGTTTAGAACAGAAAATCAATAAGGAATCTAGCTAATCTACAGAGAAATTAGCTCAAGAACAATCTGCAACTTTATTCAAAACGGTAAAAAGTACAAGAGTCCCGAAAGAAAGAGATAACACTCGATCTTTCCCAGTACCAGTCCAAGCATCTAACAGCCTACTTACTCACTCCCCTTTTACGTCTAGTTATACTACATATACCCTTATTACTAATATTATTATTATTTCTAATAAAAGTCTAATACTCTAATAGGCTGATTCCTATCACCCTTACCATAGGTGGGACCGTGGGAGCCTTTGCGGCACTCGGTAATGATGATGATGATGAAAACGGGAACTTCATTTTGGGACATCCAAACTAGGGCTCGGTCCGAAAAACCGAAAACCGAAAACCGAATCAAATCATACTGAACCGTAGCCAAATAAAATCGAACCGCTAACAAACCGAAACCGAATGTAAAAAATCGAACCGAACCGTAGTTGTTTGGTTCAGTTTTGGTTTATACCCTTCAAAACCGAACAAAACGAACTAATTACAATATAAAATTTATTTGTCAATTGTTAAGTATTAATTCTAACTAATCCTAATATCATTAATAGTCTTTGGTTTTCTTGTGCTAGAGAAATAATGTTTTTGTTACGTTTAAACAGTGTCTTTGTTAAGTATTAATTCTTATGCTCAATGATGATAATATGTTTTTACTAGTTATTAGTATCAATTAACTTTTATTTGTATTTAACTTAAGGAATTCATATTGAAGAAACAATAAATATTCATATCAACTATATCACATAGAACATATATACTCATGAACTTTTTTTGAACTAGTCACAAACAATGTAAATTAATAATATACTCCCTCTGTCTCTAAATAAAAGACACACTTTCCTTTTTGGGATGTCCTATATAAAAGGCACATTTCCCTTTTTGCCAAACAAAACAGTGCAGAACAGTGCCAAACAGTGTCCAAACAGTGTCAAACAGTATTCCTCCTAAAGATGTGCGACAGTCAAAGTATGTCTTTTACATAGGGACGGAGGGAGCATATACTTTTATCTCTCTCGCATACTCATATAATTCAAGACATGTTTATTTATTTTCATTTTTATTTTATTTGTTGTAGTGTGCTTGCATTCTTTATGTAATATGTTTGATCCCTCAAAGTATAATATCAATTTTAAATCAAATGATAATTTTTTGGTAAAAAACCGAAAAAACCGAAACCGAATCGAAACAAACCGAACCAATCAAACCGTGGTTTCAAGTTTTGGAGTGTAAAATCGAACCGAAACCGAACCGAAACCGAACCGAACTTTTTACTTTGATTCTATGTTTGGTTTTAGGTCAAAACTGAACCGAACCCACCCCTAATATTCCAAACAGGAAAAGTGGCAACTTGATTGTGAGAGGAATGGGGTAAAAGTTTTAAACAAATTCGTTTGTCCTTCGCTTTTACCAAACATTAAAAACCATTTCCTGAAGTTGTTTTTTCCTTTGCCTACCATTTCATAGTTCCAAACATGAACCTGTGGAAAAACTGAAATGCTAGAAGAGCTAATTGACATCCAAAACATGCAAAACTGAAAGTAGCACCCACCCTGCCAGTACTCCAGCTGTCCGCCTCAAACAAATGAGATAGCCGGTTAGGAGATGGTTGCCAACGCCCGCTGAGGCATCAATCAGGAAATCAACCTGATGTCAGATTGTATTGGAAAAAGCTTCAACAAGAGTTATTAATAGTAAAGCTGCACATTAACGTAAGTGTACACCATGTTCTAGATAGATCAAAGTTCAACCACATTAAGATACTTATATGCCCACAGATTGGCAGAAAGGAAAAAAATATACTTGATCCAACTTTCAGTCCTTATCCTTCGTTGTGAAAATCTCATTTTTTTCATTTTCATTTACCCCAGTGCCGCAAAGGCTCTCACCTACGGTGGGGTAAGGGGGGGGTCGGATGTACGCAGTTTTACCTTTGTACTAGAGCACAAAGACACTGTTTCCGGATGACCCGTAGTGAAAATCGCGTCCAAAATTGCATGGACTGACTGCTGCTTCATAACAAAGAAGCACAGACAGTTTAATGAGCCATTTTGCTTTATTCCATCATATTCTCAAGCCAAAAAATAATGAATCTTTGGCTCCATTGCAAATGATGGAAAATTCGTTGTGAAAATCTAATACACAAAAAAAATCTTTTGTGGGAAGGGTGGTCAAACTGATTTAACTAAAATATTTATCTTAATAAAGAACTTTAATGCCTGAATTTGCATGTAATTAACGCAAGAAAACGACAAAACTATCAAACTGTATTCAGCAAGTCACCTAGGCCAAGAGCCTACACCAACATGCAACAAATAGTGAATAAGGTTGTCAAAGATAGTCCCATGTTCGGGTGCCACATTAGGCACTGGTAAACTAGTGTACTTGAGAGATAAAACGAAGGACAGTATTCTAGATATAGACCACAAAGAGAATTATACAATAATGACATTTCTAGTGTCTCTAAAAGTGTAAAATTTTCCTGTGGTTAATAGATCTATTTATGAGAGAATAGATCTATTTATGAGAGAACAGTTACTCCATGATCTAATGGGTTTTGTTGTCTGTTGTCCTGATTCCTGAATTATGTTAAAGCACCAATTCAACAGTGTTTGTAAGGCATGCTTCGTTTAAGAGATTGAGATTTCAGTATGTTATTTTACAACAAGAAAAGATAGATCTCAAATTCTCAACCACCTGTTTCCCGGGGTGCTCAAGTGGCTCGGTATCTGCACTCTTTCCCAATTCCTTGGTCGATTAATGAAATTGCGATAGGACACATAACCCATTCCATTGCTTTTCCAATCCTTTGACATGGATGAAATACTAGACAAAGTCATTACTTATGTAAAATAAGAGCATGAATAAAACAAAAAAGTGCATGAAGGAAATAGCGGAAGAATTCAAAATGGCAATTGACCATTTCCTTTATTTCTACAGCTCCTTCAATGGTTCCCCTAACATTCCCAAACCAACCCATCCTCTCCCAAAAATCCAAAAAGACATCCTTTTTCCTACCCAAAATTTGGACCCACACTTGTCTTTGTGAAACGGTAAGTAGGTAACCAATATAATAATCTTAATAAATTACTACAAATAGGAACAGAAGAGTAAAACAAATAGTTATTATGCTCATAAATAGGACCATCAATGTTTAACCCTAAAAACAGAATTGAGCCCTTAGAAAGAATAAAAATAGTCACTACTTTTTTTAAGATTGATTTAGGAAAAGCAATTATAGCCATATGTCTATGTGTTATGATTTAGTCATATTTATGGAATTTTCTCTATAATCTATATGGAATTTTGTCTATGTTCTATATAGTAAACATTTTCTGAATCTAACAAAATTTACTATGTTTAATGATGAAGATTAGAAAATGAAGAACAATTAGAGTAATTGTAAGGGCATCCTCATTCATTAGTTTATTTGAAGATTAATTGTGTGTTGTGTAAGATTATTTTAAAGATATTTTGTTAGCTTTTTAATAACTGTTAGCTTTAAGTGACTGAAAAAATCTTAAAAAGAAAAGGTGATAGTTGTTTGGTAAAAAGTTGACTGTTTGATTTAGTTCGGTTTGGTATACAAGCTATTAGGACTAATTAATATTAAAAGTCATGGGCTTTTTTCAGATGCTACTCCCTGTAGCATCTCAAAAAAGATCTTTTAATTTTTGAAAATCTCTTAAAAATTTTCATACCAAACATATAACTTGAAACTTTTAGAGACTTTTTGAACAGTACAAAAGCTAGAAGACAGAGACTTATGCCTGCCAAACATAGCCAAAATATATTTAATGAATGTCCTAGAAAAACTAACTAATTGACTATCATTAATTGATGAAGAGTTTTGAACTTTGAGATTATTTAAAATTTATGGGGTGAAATTGATGTACATATGATGGATAAAAAAATCGGATAGAAATAACAAATTCTAATGAAACACTTCCTAATTTTTTCTTCCTCCACTTGGTAGGAAAGCTATAATTGGAAACTACGATGTAATTTTTGGAGGCATTGGTTTATACATTCCTCTTAGTCTCCACTCAACGAGAAAAAAAATTATTTAACGAGCAATGGAGATGTTCTAATGTTTAAAAAGTTGACGATTTTACAAGTTAGTCCAGCATTGCAACAGAGACATTAAATTTCCAACTTGTAAACGGTAAACTTTCCAGTTTCTGATTCTAAGAAATACTCGTAAATTTTTATTGCTATGATAGTAACATATTAAATTCCAGCGATGGAATCACATAACTTGTTAAGTCACAAAGACAATCAGCAATGACCGTTACACAAACATAATGGAAAGATTTTTTAAAAAGCAAACCAAACGCACTTTTCGGCGAAGAATACCGGACTCGGCTTTGCGGTAGAGAAGAAGTCTACGAATTCCAATATACATAGGATCGGAATCGACGGGCGAAGGCTGAAGCATACAGCAGAAGAACTCGGGATCTGAAGCAGTGCCCGCTTTGTCTCTTAGAATGTTCTTCGGAACAGCATTAGCAAGCAAACTCTTTTCAGTCGTCACCTCCACCATCACACGAACTACTGATAGACGCTCCGCCAATTCCAGTACACTCTCCGCCTGCCAGATCGAAGGCAATTGCGATATGGTGAGATGTTTACAGAAGAAATGCGTGACCCGAAATTAGTTCACAATGTGAGTATGAGGACAAGTCAATCAACGGCCTGGAATGTTACAAAGGGTTACTAAAGCCTAAAGGAAGTCTCAAGGGCTACTTAAAAAAGCTGGTGTTTGATAACACTAAAATTTAGTGTTTTATAACAGGTTGAATTGACTGATTTTACTGAAATTTATGAAATTCTGGCTGAAATGCCTGTATTCACTGATTCTGATGTTTCATGAAAAAATTATATTTAAAATATTTGTTATTAATAAATTAAATAAAAAAATTATATGAAAAAATAGCTAAATATGAAAAAATAACTAAAATGATCATACGCAATAACTTTAGCCAATACAGCCAGAAAAGTAACGTCAATCTTACTTTTTCTGTTTATTACAAAATTCAGCGCGCGAAATCAAAAGTTACGTGTTTGGTGAAAAAGTTGGCTGGTGTTGAGGTTTAACCCCGAAGATCCGAAAGCCCAACACAAGCTTTGGATATTTAAGGACGTTAGGTTGGTTTGGAAATTGTATGAAAATATAAGATTGAGAAATAAGATTCAACTCAGGAGCTAACTTGTATTCAGTAATTCTGCGATTACACTGAAACAACCCGAACGGTGGGTTAATACAAGATTACAAGAATAAGAGAGATAATTCTATCTGCTAAGCTCTGAGTATTCAAATGCTCACCCTTTACATTGTATTAAGTCCACGTATTTATACTAGGATGGGGATGGGTGAGATGGCCACGTGGCTGAACCCGGTAGGTTGTAACCTCTGCCACGTATGCACCCATGCCTCTGCTTGCTTCTGTCATGCTTTAGCATTAAATGCGGCTTCCACTTACTGGCTACCCGTTCGGATGGCACGTTCGGTGTGTGGGACCTCCTTGAAGGTATTTGCTGTTAGTATTTCCTGAAATACTCCAAGTAGAAGAACTGTGTCGAATGCCGATCGGGATGTTCTGGATTGCTTTGGGCCCTATGATTTCCTCAGGGTCCTGTCATACTTTGGGCCGGGTATATTGGGCCTGGAACCAATATCCCAATAGCTGGTAAGCCTGATAAACGGAAAAAAGGGGTCACCAAATGTGCTCTTAGTTTAAAAAAATAGTTATTCCACCCGTGCATTGCACGAGAATAAAATATCTACGTTAGAAGTTTAAGCGGATCATATAAAAAAATACTTGATAGTGAATCAATTAACTGAAAACATTAAATAAAATAAAAAGATATAGTTAATAGAAAAATAAAAAATAACTAACGGGCACTTTATCACGGTGCGTCAAAATAAATTCAATACTAACACTTATACGTAGTATAGCATAGTAGAGTTCGTATCCACAGGGAAAGGAATAATTCTCTTTTTATGAAACTAGTAAATAAAGGGGGGGTTTTATGGTTGAATGATTTAATTTAATTAAAAACAAAGATGAACAACTTATATGAGATTTAATTCAAAGATAAAAGGGACTTGGCATTGCTACTTTCCACTTGTTGATATATTTTAGTCGATCCTTGTTATATCTATAACTTATATCATCTCGAATACTCAATCGAGGAGTATATCCAATTCATCGAGGATAGTTATTAACAACGACCGTTCATTAATAACTCTTACTATTAGTCAAGTATAGAACACCGCCATATACCGACTTGATAGTAGCATTTAATCTCTTAACTCCTTGATGAAATCAATTGAGATTGATAACCTCAACACAACGGTTTCGGTTTAACCAACAAAATTAATCCCTCTTAAATTTATTAACCACGACCGTGCATTAATAAACCGAAGTTACTTACTTGTGAAACCATCAACGATTAACCATCGGTTCGTTGAACGTTTCTAGTAGTAATTAATGTTGAGATGTTAACTAATTGTCATCTTAGCAACACTCCCCAACATTAACATAGAGATAGATTAAGGGAAGAATTAATATTCAAGGAAGAAAATTAAATATGAATAATCCTACTATAACTAATGTCAAGATGTTATCTAATTGTCATCTTAGCAACACTCCCCAACATTAATATATAGAGGAAGAAAATAAATATTACTATAATTAATGTCGAGATGTTAACTAATTGTCATCTTAGCAACACTCCCCAACATTAATATATAGATAGATTAAGAGAATAATTAATATTCAAGGGAAGAAGTTAAGAAAATAACTCACAACTTTAATAATCAACAAGCTTCAAGAGCAACACCAAGAAATGGAAGTTTAGCTCCTCATTTGGAAACTAAACATGCTATAAAAATACAAAAGAAATACTATTCTAAACTGAGCTTAAGAGTATGGAAGAAGGGATTTAAAATAGTGAAGGAAAAGTGTGCTATTTATAGGTGTTTTTCAACACCTTGGGCCGGGTACCCGACCGGGTTAGGTACCTACCCGACCGGGTCCGGTCAAAATCAGATATCCTCCACGTTCTGGTGATCTTCGGCACGTTCTGGTGTTCCGGGTCAAGTCGGACCCGACCGGGTGAAATCCCTCACCCGACCGGGTGATGTAATTTCCTGAGCAGTTTCGCATTTCAATGTCTCACCCGACCGGGTGCAATACCTCACCCGACCGGGTGATTGTCTCGGGTAACCAATAATCATTTTTCTTCACTTCAAAGTCTTCCTTTCCAACACCATAAATCCTAACTCTACTTTCCAACTTACAAATGAAGATTAAAATACAATTACAACTAAAATCACATAAATGTTTACAAACTAAATAAAACGATAAACAATACACACAAATCAAACATAAAAACATACACTTATGCACTACTAATTAGTGCATATCAATAACGCTCCAAGTTAAAACTTAAACATCAAAGGAAATTAATATATTCAACACGTACTTGGTTGATTATCTGTCTTTCTAATGTACTGCAAACTTCAATTCAGATGGACTTGTTACTCTCGACACTACCACGTAAGCATGTCCATGTGTAAAACCGGGTCGACGTGTATTAGAATGATGAACTCAACTTTTTCCAATGATTGTCCTGACACCTAAGACATGTATGTTTACATCACGGGTTACTAAACGGTGCTTAGTAAGACCCGTGTTAATAAGTGGCACATAAAATAAGCAGTGTTGTAAGCTCATGTTTACTCCAAATGATTTAAAACACCTTTTAACATTAAAATGTCCAAAACAACCCTACACATATATATAGACACACAAACATTCATGAACACAAATATATAATATAATATGTGGGGGTCACCTGATACGCTTACCCATACCCCTAACCCCACATGACCTCTATATCTATACCCCCATCGCTACCCCACCCTACCCTTACCTTAACCTTAACCTCTACCCCCCCCCCCACAACCTCGCACACCCATACTCCTAACCCCTACCCTACTCGTAGGGGTGGGGTTGGGTCGAGATAAAGGGCAGGTTGTAGGGGTAAAAGGGTAGGGTCCGGCAGGGTAAGGGTTAAGGGTAGGCGATGGGGTCGAGGGTGAGGTCGAGGTAGGGGCAGATGGCAGATGGTGAAGGGGTTGGTTCGGGGTACGAGTGGATGGGTGTGTGGGAGGGGTGGGGTAGTGGTCGGGTCGAGGTAGTGGTAGGGTAGGGGGTACGGGGTGGGGTAAGAGGAACAGGTGGGGGTAAGGGTGAGGGTAGGGTAGGGGTAAGGGGTGGGGTCAGGTCGAGGTAGGAGTAGGGTGAGGGGTACATGTGGGGGTGGGGGTAAATGGGGTGGGATCGGGGTCGAGGTAGGAGTAAAGGGGGGTAGGGTCGGGGTATGGTAGTGGTAAGGAGTGGGGGTGGGGAAAGTAGGGTAGGGGTAAGTGGGTGGGTTAGTGGTCGGGTCGAGGTAGGGGTAAGGGGGTAGGGTATGGGGTGGGGTCGAGGTAGGGGCAGATGGCAGGGGTAAAGGGGTAGGTTTGGGGTATGGGTGAGAGGGTAGGAGGGGTGGGGTAGTGGTCAAGTCAAGGTAGGGGTGGGGTTAGGGGTACGTGGTGGGGTAAGGGGTGAGGGTAGGGTAAGAGGTGGGGGTTAGGGAAGGTAGGGGTAGGATAAGGGGTTGGGGTTGGGGTGGAGGTAGGGGCAGGTGGTAGGGGTAAAAGGGGTATGGTAAGGGGTTGGGTAAGTAAGACAGGGGTAAGTGGGTGAGGTAGTGGTCGGGTCAAAGTAGGGGTAGGGTTGGGGTAGGACGGGTGGGGGTAAGAGGTATGGTCATGGGTAGGGGTGGGGTTAGGAGGGGCGGGGGTAGGGTCGGGTCGAGGTAGGGGTAGGAAACATTTGTGTTTGTAAGTTGTGGGGAGGACGAAGTGGGATATGCAGTAGCCCAGTAGGGATGGTCGTATGGAAGAATGGGAGGTTGGGGTCGGGGGTAGGGGGAGGGTCAAGGTAGGGTACGGGTGGGGGTGGGGTAAGGGGTTATGGTCGAGAGCGTAGGGATGAGGTTGGGGTAAGGTAGGGGCAGGACGAGGTGGGTAGAGGGTGTAGAGGGTAACAATAGTGCAAGGACGAGGAGAAAAGTGTGAAGTAGTAACTTTTTTGTGGAAATAATTGTGTTCAAAATTTATATCATAGTCACTATATCATATGGAGTAGTAATTTTTAATATAATTAAAAAATTTACCAAGTTACATTTTTGTCCACCAAGTTCCAAGAAGTAATATTAATGGAATTTTTTCTTGAATAAATTCATTATTAAATAAATTACAAAGTTGTTTAGTTAGGTTAAAAAAACACTAAGTCACACATGAAATCTAATGGATTAAAATAGACATTGACCAATATCTTTTTTTATTAAGGTAAATATGAGTAGAAAAACTCATTTGGATGAAACAAAGAATTATATATTAAAAGGGTTTAGCTTTTCCATTGGAAAATATAGACCACCAATTTGTTTGGATAGTAAGTAAAAAAACACTGTGAATGAGATATGCATAATTAATAGCTAATGTTATAATTGGTTAAATGCATGATTTTTCATTAGCTATATTAACTCATATTTATATAAGTGTGGGCGTAGACACACACATGTATATAATAAAATTTAAAAATCAAAATCATTTATCACGTGCACGGCA